CAAAAAGAAAGCCTACCTTCAACTACTGAGAATTGGAAGCAGAGGAGCAGAAAGACAGGCAGACCCTTCTTTTAAAAACACCAGGCATCAATTTGGACAGCAGAGTGGGTACAGTGCATTAAATTTTTATATACTGTTACTAATGCAAACTAAACTAGGGGCTTTAAAAATTGATGCTGCCACTTAAGCAGCACACAATGAGGAAGATTTGATTATTGTAGTTAAAAGAAATAAAATAAAATGTCAAGTTTAACTAGAGTTGGATCCACTCCCTGGGCATTACTCAAAGTGATATGTACAATGCCTCTTCAGAACACGCAGCATCCTGTTCAGAGCTACTTTAGGAAAACACGACATTTAAAATCAAATGTCTTGATTAGGTTACAGAGTGCTTTTGATTTCCTTCACTAATCTGTGTTTTACACAGAAAGGACACCCCCGAGTTGTAATTCTTCCTTGGCTAATCTATCAAGCGGGAAAGTTCAGTGTAATCGGAATAATGGCTTACATTTGTAGAACGCTACCTTAAATCAAGCATGGAATACGTTTGCAGGCATCAGTGGAGGCTAGGTTTATAAAAGCTGAGCAGCGTTTGATACTACAGAAGTATGGAGAAGCAGCAAGGCAAAAAGCCAAATTAATTTTATTTTGAAGTATATTTGGATGGGAAGGTGCTGGTGTTTGCTGAAATACTTCAGCTTCTAAAATAGAACTGCAAGAGTGCAGACACAGAGATAGAGGAATAAAGGAGAAACGCGCTGTTACGTTGTTATCACAACTGCATGGAAAATCCAAAATTTTTTCCTTCTCTGATGTTCACCCAGTTACAGCAAAGACTTTCCACACTATGGATAGCATATATATTTAAATGATGTATTTAAATACATAGGCAAGGTCCAGGTGTGACAGAAAGTAACAGTTAGCCTTGCTCCTACACCTACGGTCCCCGTACAGCACGCCATATGCGTGTCTCGGGTGATACGCTCCGTGTTTGTGCACCCGGATGTGAAGGTTGGACAGAAGTGACAATGCTCATTTTGTAATTAACAAGAGCAAAGCCCAACAGAAACACTACACATTGACCCGATTCTTACTACATTTAAAAAGTAATGGAATAGTTGACATAATATCTAAGTACTGAAACTGAGACCTTCCCTTGACAAGAAGCCTGTGCAAACAGGCTGCTCTTACTACTACATTAAAAGGCTACTTTAAAAATCATTAAAAACAAAAAAAAAAAATCAAGCAGCAAACTGCAAACATCGAAAGAAGTAACGATCAGTCCAACAGCTTAACCCCCTCCCACTGATACAATAAATCACAAACTGTGTTTAATTAAGGCCAAGATTCCTTTTATAAAGAACATTCTATGCACAATTTAACCCACCTTAATATGAGAACAGTGACTATTTGCATTGTTCTATGTATTGGAAAAAATGCCATTACATGAGAATGGGAAAAGTCCTAAGTTCCCATGGAAGCACGATGTACATACATAACGTACATGGAACTTCAGACTTAGACAAATGTTATTAAGAACATCCTCAACTCATTTTCCCCTCTAATTTATAACTTTACATGCTAAAAATAGTGTCTTTCTGAATTAAAAGGTGGAAGTCTCCTATATATTGCATACATAGTATAGAAAAGGATTTGTGGTTTGGGTTGAGGAGTTTCTGTTTGGGCTGGGGTAAAACTACATGAAATTAAAGAATATGAATGATGATAATTAAGAAAATGAAACTATTTCACCACATAAAATTAGATGAAGAATGTCTTCTAATTGCCAGGGAAAAATCTGTACCTTCAACGGCTCATTCTCAAAAGGTGAACAGGAATTGGTAAGAAATAGGCAGATGAAAAGTCTTGATTTAAACAGCGCATACAGAGGCCCAGACTAAACCAAACCAGCGTGGGTCAGGCTGCAAACATTGGGCTGCTCAATCTCTTGCAGTAAATAAAAAGAAAAGCCAAAATGAAACAAGATAAAAAAATAAGACCTCAAATACAGGTGTTGAACCCAAATCAAGCATTATCCACGTGTAAAAGGAAAATCTTCTTACATAAACAACCCCTCCAGTTCAACAACAGATAAAACCATCAAACTCTTCCTACCCACAACTTCATCAGAAAGGCCATTTTGGCATCTATGGAAACAAACTTTAAACATGCCATGCCATTAATCAACTCATCTTACCTGCACATGACTTCATGGGTAAGCAACACTCTGCACATTTCGGGGTTCTTGTTCTGTCCTTCGTAAGTTATGGGCTACAAGAATTAAAGACGGGGTAAGCCGGGAGCATAATATTCATTATAATAATATTCTGTCATAATATTCAGATCTAAGGTGAAGACTTTTTACCAGTGCTCACAAATAAATACCTTCGCCCAAAAGCCTTTATGAGCAGGGAAAGCAGCTTATACATAAATATTGATTTTAAAGTGGATAGAAACCTACTAAGCATTAAAAAAAATATATATATATAGACTTTTGAGCATTACTTTTCAATTGGCCTTAAAAATAAGGTCTTTAAGATGAATCAGAGACAAAAAAGCATGCAGGCAGGCTGCAGCAAGGCAGGACAGCACGGCACACATTAGCTGTGCTCACCTGCTTAGTGACTGAGTCGATGAGTCTAACGTACAGATCCTGTTCAGTCCTGACACCTACAGCGAGAGAGAAGAGCAATGAACAATGCTGCCACATGCATCCTTCCCTCTGCATCAGAACAAACCTGTTTAGTTTCATCTAGTGCCTTAATAAACATCCTCAGAAAGCCCATTTTAGTTTTGTTCCCTCTAGTGTGTTTCCCAAGCCCATCCACACCAGGGAGACTTCAGAGCCCATCCCTACACTGAAGGGGCATCAGGCAAGGGAATTTCAGTGTGTTTCAGAAATCACAGTGACAGCACCTACAAACCTTCCCTCCCTGTACAGCCCACAGAAGGTGACTGGAGGGGGGCTCACCATTGCTATAGAGGAGCTGGAGTTTGTAATGTGTGCCGTTGTTTGTCTTTTCATTGCCTTGCTCCTGAAAGAGAGAATTAAAAATCTTGCAGAACTTACACTTGGCACATTTAAAATGCAGAAGCTGATAATCGTGATGGAAGTGACAACAAAGTTCATTAAAATTCTGCGAGGTGAATCCACTGATTGGGATGTATTAACCTTCCGAATGACCCAGGACAAACTACAAAATACTGCTGACATCTTTTCCTGTAGGAGTTCAAGAACTTCTTTTCCTCCTACTTGTTACTACGCTTTCCACTTTTTCAAGGCAATACACCAAGATAAATGTGTCCATTTCAAGCCAGTTAATATAAAGCAGATTGACGGTGGGAAAACTCAGTGGGTTTGGGGTTTAATGTGCTCATTCGTCTGCAATAGTGTTATTTTGAGTCATTTCTGATATTTATTTCCTGTGTTACAAGGAGGTTTCTTGCATGGGGTTTTTTTACTGTAATTTCCTAGGAAATAATTAATGAGCATCCTTCATAATTAAAGAGTATCCTGTCCACGACTAAGAAAACAATTGTAAACCCAATATGAAGTGGTCAACACGTGGGCTTTAAAATCCAAAAGCAAATGCTTTTTAAATCCTGCCATTGACTTTGGAGCCTTCGAAAATACATATAATCAAGCTCAACAATAAATATGCCATATTGCAGGTCAGATTCCACTTCTGTGAGTGTACTAATAAAATTTGGCAGATGTGATAGGTACCAAAAAAGGCACATTTGACCCCCATTAATTTTTTTTTATTCTATTTTTAGTGCATCTATGAAATTCCGATTGTATTCCCGATACAGCAGAGGCTTGCAAACCTTTTTAACTACAGTAGCACACAGAAGGCAACAGCTCTATCAAAGCACCTGAACCTTTAACTGAGAGCTGGTTGTATTTTGTTAGGGACAACAGGTATTAGAAGTCAACCGCTCAACAGAGAAGAAAATATCAGATTTGTAGAGGGAAAGAGGAAGAAGAAAGGTAACAAGCCTTACTTTATCATTCTCTACAAAGTCCACAAAAGCTGTCCTCTCTATTTCCACGGGCTGCCCCTGTCTGTCGTAGAGAGCCAGAACAAAGTGAAAGAAATTGGATTTCCTCAAGTTGGAGGGTGGCTGCTTTTCAAAGTGAGCTCTGGACAAAGCTACTCCGCTGTGAAGGAAACATACAGGAGAGACAAAGACATTACCAGGTTGTGCAGCAGTCACAGCAAAAACAACAACAGAAAAGGCAGCACACATTCCGAGAAAAGCCGGGAATCGCCCCCCCCTACGCTACTGGCACACGGCGTTAGAGCAGTCGCTTGTCACACTGACCCCGAGTCCGGCGCTTCCCCACCCGGGCACCGCGGCTCCGCTGTCGAGAAGCGCGGCCGAGGGCTGCGACCGGGCCGGGGAGAGGAAGGGGCGATGCCGGGTTGTCATTGTAACGCTGGTGTCTACAGTTCTGCTCTGAGGACAAGAATAATTTACAGACCCCGAAACATAAGAGATCGGTCACTGCTAAATGCAGGAAGTGTTTTACTCCTTCCTCTACCCATTTTCTTCTCGCCTGTCACACTCATCTCTGGAATGCAACACGCAGGGTGGGAAGACGGTGTAACATATTAGAGGGTCTGGAAGTGCTATCTCTGCATCCCAACATTGCTCGCTTCTCCTGTAGGAGACAAGGACCTTACAACATTTCCTACAAGCGGACTGTCAACTTGAGGACACCTACATTTTAAGTGAAAGGCAACTAGTTTCAAGCAGAGCACCCACTTCCCTCAGCAGATAGTTTGTCAGTGTAGCCTTTAGTCTATTTGAACAGATATCTGGGTCTCAATTTCGGATTTAAATTGAAAGAATTTAGACTCAAGTTAATTCACCCTTGCCCAAACCTTGTCCCTGACTGCAGAAAACACAGGGATGTTTCACACACATTTGGAAAGACTCAAATGCTTTCGTGTATCTACAATATCCCGAACCGCAGGTACATTCCTTAGTGAAACTATTTGTAGCTCCTTCTCCCTAATGCCGATTTCTACCCACTGCAGAGAACAGGGGTGCACATTATAGCACCTCCACATTACTTACTAGACAGATTAAGTCCACCTGCCAGACAAGTTAGGAGTCAGAACTGCTTCGCATTTTCAGTCTCAAAAATAGCTCCACCGCATTGGCAAAAGTGTTTGACTCTTTCGGAGAACTACAGATGTTTCCCTGTGTTTCCCCTTGCCAATTAGGTGCAGTGTGAACTCACCACATCCGCCACGACTGCCTCTAGTTCGGGATTTCCTCTCATTTACTGCATTTCTTAGTTTGTTACAGGTCTCTCTAAAAGCCCGAGTGATGCCACCACACAGCACAGTGCGACTGCTGCCCCACTGCTCCAAGAGTTACAGGCTTCTCAGGAGCCGTTTCCTTTTGCTTTCGGTTTCCCTGGGAATAAACCTCTTCCTCTCTTCATTGTATTTATTAAACCGTCTATCGACATTCATAAAACTCTGATAACTCCTCCCATAGCCCTCAGAAAACCTCGCTCACGGATCAGGCCGGGGGTGGGGGCATGGAGGTACCATTTCTATAACATCCCTGATTCATTTGCAGTCCCATCTGCTGTCACATGCCCTTCACTTATTCCTGGGACCGACTGAACCTTTTTCTTTTCCTACTAAAAAAAAAAAAAAAAAAAAAAACCCCCCCCGTTTTTTTTTTTCTAATGTATCCAGAGAGCGAGGAGATAAAAAAAAAAAAAATACCTAGAAGGGGGTTTAATTGTCTTACCCCTAATGGGAAGAGACTGGAATAACGGGAAGAGACTGGAATAACGGTCCTGTGCCGACTTGGCTGGGAAGAGAAAATAAAAGGGGGTGGGAGGGGTGGTGTAACCCGCCCAAACAAGGAGAAACCAAACTGGAAAC